GAGGACGCGGAAGACGGAGAGGAGAAGTTTCGTTTCCCCCCCCCCCCTCCCGCTCCGCGGTCTTCGTAGAGGTCGCCGCTGCCGATACCCCCCCCCCGGCCACCGCTGGTTGCCGCCAGGGACCCCCCTCTTCGACCCCTTCCCCTCGGCGATGCCGAGCTCCTCCCGGGGGTGCCGCCGCCGCCGCCGCCGCCGCCGCCGAAGCCGCTGCGCTGCTGCTGCTCGCTGGACAGCTGCGTGATCACCGTCTTCGCTTTGCTGCGGGGCGAGGGAAAGCGTGCGCGCAGGAGGGGGGGGAGGGGCTTGTTTGCTTGCGTTGGTCCTGTACGCTCCAAGTAGGACGCGACCTCCTTGTCTCGGCGCTGACAAGAGACGAAAGACAGTAGTAAAAAGAAGGACACACAAGACCCAAAACTGCGCCGCTGTAGAAGGAAGAAGACCGCATCTATCTGCGGGGTGATGAGTGGATGCCCTCGAACAAAAGCAACGGTAACGACGAAGGTGTTCATATTTCTTCGCTTGCCGGTGTGAGGGGTGGATGAGAGAAGGCTGGCTATGCCGTCGCCCTGCCAAGCCCATGCAAGCGGTTTCTGAATCCCGGCTCCTGTAGCAAGAACAACCGCAACCATCATGCCCACAACAAAAATCAACTCTAACGGTTTGACCAATACACCTTCGTAGCGCTCGGGTTTAATGACAACAATAACAACAACAACAACAACAACAACAACAACAACGACAACGACGAAGACAACGACGACAAAGAGCACGCTCAAAAACAAGCCAAAACCCAAAACCCATAACCCCCCCCCCTTCAATCCTTGTGAGACGCAGAATGGGCCGGCGAAAACTCGGCATGCATACCGCGCTCCGTCCCGGCGTGCGAGGTCCATGCTCTAACGACGACGGCTTGCGTACACATGAGTATGCGACTCGCCGAAATACCTCACGGCGCTTCGCGCTTGGTGATGTGAGAGCCTGGTCCGGTGAGAACCCGGCATGCTCCGTCCCGGCTTTGCAGGGATGCGAGGTCAATGGTCAAACGACTACGGCATGCACGACAATGAGTACAACCCCCTCCCCCCCGTCCACTTGGAAAAACCCTCTCGGGGACACCCACCGGTCGAACTCGACCCAGGCACACTTTCGAGCCTCGCAAGGCTGCTTGTACGACCCCCTGCCGCCGTGCTTTGGCATGTCCACGCAGTAGCGGCACTGCCCGCAGTCCGCCGATCGACAGGGGGCGCACTCCCCGCAACGCCGGACCTGCTTTGTGCGTTTCGCGCGGGGTAGGGACAAGAGAGGAGGGGAAGATTGACGAACCCCCAAGGACTGACTACCGCACGATAGAAAATGGCAGTTTTTTGTTTGCACACCAACAAAGATAGATGGTGGTACTACCCTGTGGTGGTCATGTTCCTGTTGATTGGGGCTCGTCGTGAGGTGTATTCGAGCTGCGGGAGTGGCAGTAGTAGTAGTAGCAGTAGTGGTAGGGGGAGGAGGAGGAGCGGCACAATCAAAACACCCAACAAACACCCTGCAATACTCCAGAAAGAGCAAAATCCGTCACGAAGCGATTGTTGTCGTCGTCGTCGTCACAAAGAAGCAGCCGCACGCCTCTGTCCTTTACTGCCACACAGAGACACACACAAACACAACCAAACCCTACGACCCCAAGCATACCCCGAAAAAGCACACCTAACCCACAGGCGAGCAAAACCCTAATCCAACCTCCTCACCTAGCCTGTAGCCTAGCCTAGGCAACACCAACCAACCACGCCCCGCACCTTCTTGCCGTAGAGCGTGATGATGTACCCGGGGTGCTTTCCCTTGGGCTGCTTCGCACCGTGAGTCGCCAGCAACGCCTTGTCCTGCTTCCCGAACCGCGGTGGCTGGGTGCCGGTCGTGCTGTACGTCGGCAGGCGCGGGGGCGCCGCGGTGCCGCCGCCGCCGCCGCCCTTCGCCGCCGCGCCCGCCCCCGCCCTGGCCCCGCCGCCGTCGACCCCGTCCTTTCCGCCGCCGCCGCCGCCGCCGCTCCCCCTACCGCCGCGATTAACACCACCGCCGCCGCCGCCCCGACCTCCGCCAACGCCTCCAGAGGATATCGAACTCCCCGCCGCTCCTGCACTTCGGCCGTTACCACCGCCGTTGTCGCCGCCGCCGCTCCCGATGCTGCCGCTTCAGCCCCGACCGA